AAATTTTGGGCCCGGGAAAATTTTCCCATCTTAAAATACTGAAAATGGGACAGAGTTTTGGGAGAAAGATTTTGCAATTTTATTCGGGTTTTTTGGCTTCCAGTACTTCAATTTGGTTTCTTTACCACTAAAATTTAACGGGAATTTTTTGGGTTTTCGGGGAAAAATTTTTAATCTTATTTTTAAAAATTTTGTTTTCCCAAAAAAATTTCACATTTGAAAGGGGACAGACTTTTAAAAATACAACTTTTTTTTGTTTTAAAAAGTTTTCCCGCAGTGGGTTTCCCCCGACAAAAATTTCAAACTTCCGCACCTAAAATGGGGGTAAAGGGCATCTTAAGTTAAACAAAACAAATTTGGTTTAATGGTGACAAAATCTTTTTAAAAACTGAAAAATTTTTGGGGCCTGGAAGTTTCATCTTAAAAAACGGAAAAGGGGAACAGGTTTTGGAAATATGTTTTTTGCAATTTTTTCGGGATTTTGATTTCCATTTACCTTAAATTTTGGGGGTTTCGTACCATCATAAATTAAAACGCCCAAATTTGGTTTTTTTGGGCAAAATTTTTAAATTTTGGGGGGGAAAATTTTGGGTTCTTAAAAAAAATTTTAAACATTTAAAAAAGGGGAAACAGATTTTTTGAAAATACAACTTTTTTTTTGTAAGCTTTCTCCCTGTGGGCTTCCCCGACAGAAATCAAATTTCCCAGCCCCCTGACGTGTTATATTGCATCTTAAGTTGACTTACAAATTGGTTTTTGGGGGACAAAATCTTTTGAAACTGAAAAATTTGGTGGGGGAAAATTTTTCATCTTCAAATATGAAAAGGGGACAAAGGTTTTGGAGAAATGTTTTTGAAATTTTTTTTCGGGTTTTTTTGATTCCAGTCCCCAAAATTTTGGGTTTTCTTTCCACACCAATTTTAACTGACTAATTGGTTTTCGGGGAAAAATTTTAAATTTTTAATCTTTTAAAATTTTGGTCTTCAAAATTTTTTTTAAACTTTTGAAAAGGGGAAGACCTTTGAAAAACAACTTTTCTTTTTGGGAAAAGCTTTCTATTTTGTGGGGCTTCCCCCAACAAAATTTAAACTTCCACCCAATGGGTCATTTTGGCCCATCAAAATTTGACTTACTAATTGGTTTTGGTGAAAAAAAATCGGTTGAAACGGGAAAATTTTCGGCCCGGGAAATTTTATCTTCAAAAACTGAAAATGAGCAAAGTTTTGGGAAAAATATGATTTTCCAATTTTTGGGGTTTTTGGATTTCCATACCTCAAGGGGGTTTTTCGTACCATCATAAATTAACGGGGACAAATTTGGTTTATGGGCAAAATTTTTTTTTTTCTGTAAAATTTTCTTCAAAAAATTTTTAAAATTTAAAAATGGGACAAAACTTTTAAAAATTTTAACTTTTCTTTTTGTTAAGTTTTCGGGGCTGTGGGTTTTCCTCCACAGAAAAGTACTTCCAGCACCTCATGTGTCATATGGCATTTTAAAATTGACTTACTAATTGGTTTTGGTACAAAATCTGTTAAAAAACTGAAAAAATTTTCGGCCCCTGGAAATTTCATCTTAAAAATAAAAAATGGGACCGATTTTTGGAGAAAAAGTTTTTTGCAATTTTTTTTCGGGTTTTTGGGATTTCCCCGAAACCTAAATTTTGGTTTCGTACCATCTTAATTAACTGTTTAATTTGGGGTTTCTGGGGCAAAAATTTTTTTTTTTAATCTGAAAAATTTTTGTCTTCGAAAATTTTTACTTTAAAAATGGGACAACTTTTGAAAATAAAACTTTTCTTTTTGGGTTAAGTTTTTCTGTGTGGGTTCCCCCACAGAAACCCAAACTTCCAGCACCTCAATGGGTTTTCATTTGGCATCTTAATTTTGACTAACTAATTGGTTTTGGTGCAAAATTTGTTGAAAACTGTAAATTTTTTGGGCCCCCTGGATATTTCATCTTAAAAAAAATGAAAAGGGGAAACAGAAATTTGGAGAATATTTTTTTGGGAAATTTTATTGGGGATTTTGTTTTCCCCAGACCTAAATTTTGGGGTTTCGTCCCAATCATAAAATTAAAATAAACAAATTTGGTTTCTGGGCAAAAATTGATTTTATCTGAAAAAATTTGTCTTCAAAAAAATTTTTAACTTTGAAAATGGGACAAACTTTTAAAAATAAAATTTTTTTTCGTTTTTTTAAGCTTTCGGCTTGGGCTTCCTCCACAGAAATCAAACTTCCGGGCCCCTTTAAAATCGTGTCTAGGGCATTTTAAAGTTGACAAACAAATTTGGGTTTTAAAAGGGGGAAAAAAATTTGGGTTGAAACTGAAAATTTTTCGGTCCTGGAAATTTCATTTTAAAAAACTAAAAAATGGGCCCGGATTTGGAAATATGATTTTGAAATTTAAATTTGGGTTTTTTGGGACCCTCCTTACCTAAATTTGGGGTTTCGAAACCATCACCCAATTTAAAATGATTTTTGGGTTTCCGGGGAAAAAAATGGGTTTTTTCTTTTAAAATTTGGGTTTTCAGAAAGTTTCCCCATTTGAAAATGGGACAGACTTTTGAAAAAAACAATTTTTTCGTTTTGTTAATTTTTGGCTTTTGGGGGCTTCCCCGACAAAAAAACCCAAACTTCCAGCACCTCAACGTGTCTTTGGATTAATTTTAAATTTCAAATTTGGTTTATGGGGAAAAAAATCTTTTTTGAAACGGAAAAAATTTTTCCGGTCCTGGAAATTTCATCTTCAAAAACTGAAAATGGGACAGAGATTTGGAGAATATGATTTTTGCAATTTTATTCGGGATTTTGACTTCCAGTACCTCAATTTGGTTTCGCACCATCATCAATTAACTGACTAATTGGTTTCTGGGCAAAAATTGTATCTTATCTGTAAAATTTGTATTCAGAAAATTTCACATTTGAAAATGGGACAGACTTTTGAAAATACAACTTTTCGTTTTGTTAAACTTTCTGCTGTGGGCTTCCTCCGACAGAAATCAAACTTCCAGCACCTCAATCGTGTCATATGGCATCTTAAGTTGACTTACTAATTGGTTTATGGTGACAAAATCTGTTGAAACTGTAAAATTTCGGTCCTGGAAATTTCATCTTCAAAAACTGAAAATGGGACAGAAATTTGGAGAATATGATTTTGCAATTTTATTCGGGATTTTTGACTTCCAGTACCTCAATTTGGTTTCGTACCATCATCAATTAACTGACTAATTGGTTTCTGGGCAAAAATTGTATCTTATCTGTAAAATTTGTCTTCAGAAAATTTTACATTTGAAAATGGGACAGACTTTTGAAAATACAACTTTTCGTTTTGTTAAGCTTTCTGCTGTGGGGCTTCCTCCGACAGAAATCAAACTTCCAGCACCTCAATCGTGTCATATGGCATCTTAAGTTGACTAACTAATTGGTTTATGGTGACAAAATTTGTTGAAACTGTAAAATTTCGGTCCTGGAAATTTCATCTTCAAAAACTGAAAAGGGGACAGAGATTTGGAGAATATGGATTTTGCAATTTTATTCGGGATTTCGACCTCCAGTACCTCAATTTGGTTTCGTACCATCATCAATTAACTGAGTAATTGGTTTCTGGGCAAAATTGTATCTTATCTGTAAAATTTGGTCTTCAGAAAGTTTCATATTTGAAAATGGGACAGACTTTTGAAAATACAACTTTTCGTTTTGTTAAGCTTTCTGCTGTGGGCTTCCTCCGACAGAAATCAAACTTCCAGCACCTCAATCGTGTCATATGGCATCTTAAGTTGACCTACTAATTGGTTTATGGTGACAAAATCTGTTGAAACTGTAAAATTTCGGTCCTGGAAATTTCATCTTCAAAAACTGAAAATGGGACAGAGATTTGGAGAATATGATTTTGCAATTTTATTCGGGATTTTGACCTCCAGTACCTCAATTTGGTTTCGTACCATCATCAATTAACTGAGTAATTGGTTTCTGGGCAAACATTTCATCTAATCTTTCAAATTTTGTCTTCAGAAAATTTCACATTTGAAAATGGGACAGACTTTTGAAAATACAACTTTTTGTTTTGTTAAGCTTTCTGCTGTGGGCTTCCTCCGACAGAAATCAAACTTCCAGCACCCCAATCGTGTTATATGGCATCTTAAGTTGACTAACTAATTGGTTTATGGTGGACAAAATCTGTTTGAAACTGTAAAATTTCGGTCCTGGAAATTTCATCTTCAAAAACTGAAAATGGGACTGAGATTTGGAGAATATGATTTTGCAATTTTATTCAGGATTTTGACTTCCAGTACCTTAATTTGGTTTCGTACCATCATCAATTAACTGACTAATTGGTTTCTGGGCAAAAATTTTATCTTATCTGTAAAATTTGTCTTCAGAAAATTTCTCATTTGAAAATGGGACAGACTTTTGAAAATACAACTTTTAGTTATGTTAAGCTTTCTGCGGTGGGCTTCCTCCGACAGAAATCAAACTTCCAGCACCTCAATCGTGTCATATGGCACCTTAGTTGACTTACTAATTGGTTTATGGTGACAAAATCTGTTGAAACTGTAAAATTTCGGTCCTGGAAATTTCATCTTCAAAAACTGATAATGGGACAGAGATTTGGACAATATGAACTTTGTAGAAAAATGTACTACACGAGACTGCTTTGATGTCTCTCAAATGTTCAAATGTTATTAATATTTGGTTTGATAAAACAATTAAACGTGGTCCATGAGCTACGTCATTAGTTACGTCATTAGCTACGTCATTAGCTACGTCATTGGTACACGACCACATGCAACAAGATATCAACAGTTATTGTTGAGTGTTGCACAAAGCACGTTTATACCTGGAAGTGCCGGGAGCTGAGCTGCCTTCCAGTTAAAGAGTTAAAGAAGAAACTGCTGTTGAAAAACATAGAGATTTAAGGTTATTACTGTTTTGATTTTCCCAATGACTTCTAGTTCGAAACATAAATTTGAATGTAGAAAATGATAAAATGGAAAATGCGAATTTGATTTGGTAATGAAATGTGATGAGAATATGTTTAACATGTTACACAGTATTAATTAAGAATGATCGTCGTATCAATTGTTATCAAAAATCTGGTTAATCAACTTCATTCATCTGTCATCAACACATTTTCAAAACAAATATTAATACTAAAACTTTGATCAAAAATCCATGAATAAAAATCAAATTGTCGAAACAGAAATTGCCTTACCTGATGAGATTATTAACATTCATTAATAAAAGCAGCTGTAAAATACAATTATTGTTCGAAAGATTGAACAACTTTATTGAAATTTGTCTTTCAGTTCAACAAATATTAAATTTCTGTCCTGAACACAATTAATGGTTTTTTAAATAATTCCGTTGACATTTTTTAGTTTTTACACCTACAGTTGAGAATAATTGCTGCACAGAATCTAAAGACGTACGAATATAACTGAGTAACTACATTAAACCTCAAATTTACCATCAGTATAGGGTAAGGAAAATATTACGGTAAATTAGGGTTTTGATCGGTGTTTTGCTGTAATCACCCTCATCGAACCCATAATAACAATAAGTAGATAATTAACTATCGTCATTAATTAATTATCATTAATAAACATTACAAGACATGATAAAAATTCTGAACTTTCCACAGGTCCTAACCAGAGGACTGGAGTCTCTACACGGCAGTTATAGTAGGAGGATATATAAACAGTAACCACGTGACCTGGTTGGTCACCATGGTCACGTGGTTACCATGGTCACGTGGTCACTCCTCCTTGAGGTGCCTGTGTCGTCCGGTCCACACTATCAGGGTCTCCGGGGAGCGGTAAAGGAGGAGGAGCTTCCTGTATAATACTTGCTCCAGTACAAACTCTCCCTGGGGAAGGAGGGGTTATCAGCCAATCTTGGAAAACTTTTGAAACCTTGTAACTTGTAAAAGACAAAAATAAGTACGTTCATATGCAGTTGTGTCGAGGCTTTATCAATTGACTACTAAGCAACAAATTGTCAATATAAACCGGTTTATACTGTAAGTGAAAGTGAAACTAGCAGGTGAAAGTGAAAGTGAAACTAGCAGGTGAAAGTGAAAGTGAAACTAGCAGGTGAAAGTGAAAGTTACCTGAGCGCGAACCATCTCAGTACTAGACACGAGACTCATAATGAGATCGGGACAAGGCATCTCTTGGAAGATAATCCGAGTATGTGAGTCAGCCAACGTTAATCTGGGGGGTAATATGAAATTAAACTTCTTGTAAAGTTTTCGCAGCGAGGTATGTTTTTAAAATCTTCGAATTTGCAAAAAATCGTTCAATCTATATAATTGATAATATGCAATTTCATAAAGAATCATCAAAGATAACACTAACCGGACGAATTTGAAGATGACAAGGACTACAGATATGTAAAGGCCGATAATACCATAACTAGCAATCAGCTGATATTGACTGCTAACTATCCTATCAGAGAAGATGTAGAATTGAACTTTGTTTGGATTATCACCCATAGGAACTGAAGATAAGGATTTGTTAGATACATTAATTCATACACTCGTTGTTAAAATATAACTTTACAGCTTTCATAAATAAATAGATAACGAAGTGGGGCAATGTCTAATATAAATAAGCAGTTCTATTATACATCAGATGCTATTTGAATTTCGCAGATTCTCATAAAAAAGTTTCTATTTATTTACCCGAGTTATAAAAGGTATTGTTGGGTACAAATTTAGAATTCTGGTTAATACTCCAGTAGTAGCCGTCCCATATCGGACAATTTCTGCCCTGTATCACCTTATCTGGATCCTGTATAGAAATGTAATGTTAACAGCAAGCAACCTTGAAAGAAAGTTTTGATTTTACTCCTGATAACAACATCTTACTTAAACACCACTTGCTAGGCGATCGACGAGCGTGATGAACACATTTTCCTGACACAAAAAGATAACGGTACGATGCTTATATCACACATTTTCTGATGAAAACGTACCGCATAATGCTGCAGTGAGAGGTCGACATTTTTGTTATTTCTAGGGTCGACACTTCCGACTGGGTTTGGATACAATCTACGTGAGTCACTTCCTGGGATGAAGATGATTTTTAATAATCAAATTTAATCTAATCGAATTATAATTTAATAACAATATTATAGAATAACTAATAATAATCTAATACATTGTACATAGTAATTTTATAATGTAATGATAATCTAACAATAATATTATAATGATCTTACAATATGGGGACATTACTATTAATTTCGTGATATATTTTGGCATTTTGAAAAATTATTTCATATATCCTTGAATAATGAAAGGACGACACTAATATTGAAATATTACAAACTTATAAGTTCTAAATAGTCATAATTAACCACAGAAATATAATGATAATTTAAGCAGTGTCACTGCTAAGTATTTTTACTAACCGATTCTCTGGCCCAAAGGAAGGTCGGTATGAGACCGCTGACGTTGAGTTTTGTAGATGTATTACAATTTTTAACCACGTTTAACAGTGCCTTTCTGTTAACGTATGGATTGCCAAAATTCAGCTCTGAAAGAATTAAAGGGTTAGTAGAGGAACTTTTTCACCAAACTAAAAAATATATTTTGGAGTATATAACGACAAAAACATCAATTATTCATCAATATGTCATAATATTAATATTTGTTCTACAAGATATTGTTGACAGTTAATGAATAACATGTATTGTGTATATCATATCCCAGGCACCACCACCCACCGGCATCACCCTCGTTCAGTACCGCTATCTCCGACACCCCAGACACTATCTTCTGAGCAGTGGTAGACTCAGGTTCCCGGAGTATCGTCCACTCAAACCTCATTGTTAGGTTGAAGCCTAGCTTTTCGTTCGTCTCGTCTAGCACCGTCGTCAGGAAATTAACCGCTGAAATAAAGGTGTGTTAGTGAGACTGCAGAGAGGGCAGTAGCGAGTAGCGAGGGGAAATTGTTACCCCTGTGGAGTGAAATGATAAAAACATTCGTTAGGGTTAATCAAGATGGCTTCTGCCGTTCAGTTGACAAATTAGATTAAATAACATATTTTTACAGTTCACGAACCTGCGGGTGATATCTCCCACAGCGTCATACTATCAGAATACACGTCCAGCCGAGCAATGTCCGCAGCTTTAAACCTGTTCACAAACTCGGTGTAGTTGTTGAGTTTCATGTTAAGTGTGTCGTTACCTCCCCCTCTCCGTACATCAGCTTTCAGGTCGTTTAGAGAATCCTCAGAGAGGCTTGGTATTTGGGTAAACTTCATGCTCACCATCGGCTGGGAAGGAATGTGTTTGTTGCAGAGCTGATATGAAACAATCAACAAATATCATTTTGTCTCGGAACAATTTAGAATGAAAATAAAGCAGGATAATATTTTGCAGTTTCCCCAAAATAACGACAACTTATCCCAACAAATACAAAAGGTTAAAAACTTAAAAAGGAACTAAACGCTAAAATACCAAAACTTTAACACACAATACCTCCAGGCCTCCCACGGATAGAGAACAACTGAAGCCAGTGGGCGGATTAGGGATGGAGTTGGTGGTAATAACACTCATGAAGAGGAGTGGGAACCAGATGATGAGGATGAGGAGCAGGACCAGGAGCCCACCTATACCGTACTTCATGTACGCGGGCTGCTTCTCTCCCAGGTAGTACGCTGATTCATACGTAACCTGGACAGTGGACAATTGTTAATTAAAGTGATTTTGTCTCGGTTGTTTATTTACTTGCTGCCGTATTTGTTCAATTGCACAGTCAATTTGGTTGTTGCAGTTCAATATTGGTAAGTATCATTTAAGGACCAAAGAAAATCGCGGCGAAAGATTATGTATTTGCAGAGCTTAGTTAGATGCCATATATTCGTTAACTAGCTCGTTAGTCTAGTTAGATTAGGGAGCGATAGGCGCGCCTAGCAATATATCATCTTAAACAATAATCTCAGAGTGTGTGTCTGTCTGTGTGTGTGTGTGCGCGTGTAATTTCCGAGCGGCTTAATCAAGAAAACGGTTACGGGGCTGGTTTTTTCGGTATACGGGTAAATGCCTCACAGAATGGCTAGCCTCACAGAATGGCCAAATTTGTAAATGTTTTTGTAACTAATTTTTTATAAAAGACTGGTAGGTTTTGTGGATACCATATGAAACAAAAGTCTTCTGGCAACACTTCCTGTGGTGAAATGGCCAAAATATGCCTCACAAAATTTGTTTTCAAATTTTTGAACTAAGTTTACATTTTGGTGAGAACTTCTGGCACCAGTATGACAGAAGATGTTCAAAGAATAGTATTCATCAAAAAAAACGAACATTGTTCAATATAGGAAGAAAAAAATGCTAAAATGGCTACACGCCTCACAAAATGGCCAAAATATGCCTCACAAAATTTGTTTTCAAATTTTTGAACTAAGTTTGCATTTTGGTGAGAACTTCTGGCACCAGTATGACAGAAGATGTTTAAAGAATGGTATTCATCAAACAAAACGAACATTGTTCAATTTAGGAAGAAACAAAATGTTAAAATGGCTAAACGCCTCACAAAATGGCCAAAATATGCCTCACAAAATGGCTAAAATTTAAAACTCCTTTTATTCAATGAAACCATAAGTCTAAAGTATTCACGAGCTATTTATTATACAATAACACCCCAGATGGAGTGTTTTTACAGCCGAATGAAGGTTATAAATCATGAAATCAGGGAATATGAACAACGCCACACAAAATGGCCATTTTTGGTGTAGGAAATTACGCCCTTTTTATTCAGTTCTAAGAAATTTCACCTATATGGGGGTGTTAACAAGGCATATTAATACCAGCAGCATGCCTGAAACAAGAGCCAAAGGTTTTAGAAAAATAAAATTTTCTCGTTTTCTTTTTTTTTGCCATTTTGTCAGGCATTTTTTCTTTTTTGTGAAATAATTTTTCACAGCTCAGTTTTTTCGTGAGTTTTAGGTTATTACCCCATTCCTTAATAGGTTTTCTAAGAACGTGTGGTGATAGAAATTTAAAAAGTATCTCCATCAACAAAATTATAGAAATTCAGATTTGGCCATTCTGTGAGGCATGTTTTTTTCGAGGAAGATTTTCCGGCCAATTTTTCTCAAAGAAAAAATGGTTATGAGATTAAATGAACCCCCGGGAAGAAAAATATGAGTGTGGGGGGGGTGTAACCCAAAAAAACCCAATCCCAGTATGACCTTTTTCAGGGTAGGAGTTGGGTTTTTTTGGGTTTTTTTTGGGTTTTTTACAAATTTTTCATTTGAAGGAAATAAAATCATGTAGGCACCTAGCAAAACAATTATCAGTACAACATCACTGTTGTGGTTCATCACTACAACGTTACAATAGATATAATCGCTTAAATATCACCCAAAAGCAGTATTTTATTCACTGATGTGCTCAGAAGAAGTTGGCCATCCAGATATGATATCAGCCATATGTAATGCTCAGTTCGATGGCCATGGCAAATTGAGTTAGTAGGGACGCAACTCACTGATGACCTCAACCCTGACCGCAACCGGTACGAGAGGAATAAAGCCTTTCTTCTCACCTTCACGATCTCTGTTTCCGTTTTCCTGATCATCCGCTTAACGAGAAACCATGCTCTATCTCCAACTGAAAGAATCTTGCAGTTACCATCAGCTGCATGATCACATGTGATATTAAGTGATATCTTCGCTTGTTTATGGCCCTGGAGTCGCTAAAATCTTGACTGGGATGGCATTCGATCTCGCCCTCCATTGAGGCAAACCTCAACAGCCGTATCATGATGCAGACTGCAGAGCATCACCATACACAGTTACTATTTTCGCCCATTCCTCTGATGAGTCAATATCCTCCACTTCCTCTTCTTCATCATCTGTTCCGCTTCGTCACTCTCTGCTCCGTCAGAAGATGGTTGGAAAGCCTCTCCTTCAAAGTTACAGTGTTCTTGAAGGAGTTCTCTACCCCTTGAGACTCCCTTCTTCATAGCTTGTAACAATCTTGGGATTGAAGTATCTTTACCTCTAAATAGTTTCTCTGCCTTCGGATGCGGTATAACAAGCTTGTTGCGAGAGTGGGCAACTGTTACAGGGATCAAACTTTTGCCGAGTGCATCAAGCTCGAGGGAACGGTTTGATTTGCCCATGCCAACCAACATATCCTTAGAACACAGATTAGTTCTAATGCCTGCATGGAGGCCTATGCGCAGGAAAGCATAAAGTTTGGTCGCAGGCATCGGATGTAAACAGCCGGGGCATAAAGTGTTGATAACTGTTGTCAGCTGTTACACTGAGAATGTACAGCATCAGACCCTCGACTGTAATAATCGCATCATCAAAATTTTTACATGTAGGCAGGTGGTCTTTCAATGGTTGTGTATAGCTTAGGTGGCCCAAGGCGTCACCGCTGGATAGAAGCTGGGTGGAAGCCCTGGCCTGATGTGAGGCTCCCAGAACTTTGAAAAGGGGTATCCTGCTGGTGCTCTCTTCCAGACACTCATCGGACAGCATGATGAAAGCCACTACCTCCGCGTGGTGAAGACTGGATACTGGACAGGGGGTCCAGGCTAAAGGCAGGACGGTCGACGGGAGACATTGAGCCCCGGAAGTTCAATAATTTGATCTATTGACTCCTTAACTCTTGGTCTACAAGAGGCTTTGAGACTCGTAAATCTTTACTGTGGATTGCACAGTAGCTTAAGAGGTGTTGGCTGTTACCCTGTTCAACCTAGTCTACTATGACCCAGCTAGACTGGACCACACACTGGTAGTAAGGATACGGCTCCCTATGCCCGGGGTACCGGGTAACGGGGTAGTCAGGGGAAGGCCAAGGGTTAGTCCCCGCTAAAGTGTGGCTATGTTCTCACTCTAACCTCCTTATGCTTTGGGAAAAAATCGGACAGTCCCACACTTGAGCAGGTGATGATTGGGTAAGGATTACAACTGATGCTGTTGGGTAGAAAAAGGAAGTGTCACATTTGTCTTGTATAGCATATAATATGTTCGTGCAATTACATGCTCAAGATATCCAAGATATTATGGTGAGAGTTAAAGATGGCTATTGTTTAATAGCCAGAGAACAGCACAAACGCATCGAACATGCAGAACTATTTTCTCAAAGCAAGCTGCACATCCTTGGCCTGCAAGAACATCATGTAGTGCATTCTGAGCCTACCAGGATAGAAAAGATGAACAAAGGGATTCATCTAGTGACCTCATCTGCGTGGAGAAATGCAGCTGGCGCTTCTAATGGGAGAGTAGGAATCATCTTGACGAGGACAGCATATGAGGCTATTTAAGTCTTATAAAATCTTACAGCGCAAGGATCCTCACCAATCACCATGTCTTTTAATGGAAAGCGCAGGCTCACTGTCATCACATGCTACAGTCATACAGAAGCCTCATCTGATGAGGAGGCAGAAAATCTCTTTTGTCTAAAACCAAGCATCTTACTGTTAATTTAGTAGAAGAGGAGCCACACACAATAACTCCTAAAGACGGACATGCCTTAGAGAAAGTTGAGGATTTTTTCTACCTAGGAGCCTGGACAAGTACAACGGAGCACGACTTTAGGGTACGCAAGGCCAAGGCATGGGCTGCATACCACAAAATGAAGGCTATATGGAGGTCCAATTTGCGCCGAGATTTAAAGATCCGTCTGTTTCAAGGCTACAGTTGAATCAATCTTCCTGTATGGAACGGAAACGTGGACAATGACAAAATCTTTGAAAACAATAGACGGATGTTACAGTAGAATGCTTTGGATGGCCCTAAACGTGGACTGGAGAGAACATCGCACCAACAAAGAGGTCTTTGGATCACTCCCAAGAGTTAGTTCGAAGATACAGGCCAGAAGAATGAGGTTGGCTGGGCACATCCAGAGATCCAGCGATATGATGACCTGGCAGTACACCAACTTCTCCTTCGGGAACCTAGCCATGGGACCAGAGGGAGGGGCAGACCACCGCTCACCTTCGTCGATAACCTAATAAGTGACACCGTACTCAAGAACACTGGGGAGATTAAGGAGCTTCTGGCGGACAGAAAGCTTTGGAGACACATCATTGAGACTCGGACTCTGAAGCCGCCTTAAGTCAAGTAATTTAAGTCATGTGCTTTGACCTTCGTCATAGCCTCTTTCAATGACAGGAGAACACATTTGCCACATTTGGCACATTTCCACTTTCTGCATTCATATGGATTATATCTCGATGAACTAGACATCCTCTTTGCTATCGTGATAACATTATTTTATTATAAACACACTTATATACTATGTAAACTATCTATTAAGTTAAGACATGAGAACAACACGTAGGTAAGACTCAGTGGGAAATAATTCACATTCAATACAACAAATGAAATGGCTAGAATTTTGTTTAAATTTTGTTTAAAAACCCAAAAAAACCCAAAAAAACCCAATCCCAGTATTACCTTTTCTTGGGTAGGAGTTGGGTTTTTTTGGGTTACACCCCCCCCCCGAGTGTCAACTTAGCTTCTTATGAGATAAAAACTGGAATAAAGTGTGTTTTGTGACTTTGAGAGACCTTCCTTTTTTTTGGCCATTCTGTGAGGCAAATACCCGTATAGTAGTGCCGACAAAACTCTGAAGAAGTCTAATACAATCCCAACAGGATGCAGTACGTACAAAATAGCATTAAACAAAGTCCTAAGCACCGAAGAACGGAACCAGCGAACGGCACTTTGTCTTCACCCTTAGCTTGTACTAGTACTACAAGTACAAGTTGTATACAAGTTGCATTTTCAAGTTGTAGATGCAATACTGCGATAGATACAACAAAGATACAAGGGCAGGTCTCTCCCGAACGTTGGGATGGCCTGAGGTGCTTATCTCCTTTTCAGTAATCCTAAGCCACTCTGTGCCGAGGCACTATACTAGCTGTAGGGGGGTTAGTCCTACGAGCCAGAGAGTGTGTATCACCAGCCGAAGCTGTACCAAATCACAGCTTGGTAACTGACCGACTTGCATCCGACCGGATTTGAACCCGGGTCTTCTGCTTGGGAGGCGATCGTGTTACCACTACACCACTGCGATAGATTGGTTCATAATTTGTCTTGGGCAACTAAAGCATCATGTCATTTATTATTATCAGCTATTTCCTCGATTTTAAATTCATAATTGTTATCGTAAAGTAAAGCAGCACTTTTCTTCAAGTAAACAAGTTGTTCTTAGGCACGTGGTTCTGGAACAAGTAGTCCTATGGTATATTATGGCTATATGGTTATCAGACAGAATGAGGATTAAATCACTTTAAATCTTTAATTCTATCGAGTAGTGGCAAAATATTGCAGCTCAGTGGCTTTTTGTGGTAAAAAATCGCGAATTGTCGCGGAGAATGGGAACAATTGCGAAACAAATATTGATTTCTACATGACCGGATCTTAATTAAAGATAAGAATAAATTAAAACTTAAAAAATAAATAAAAACTGAGAATCATATATTATAATGATTTTCAGTTTTATTCTTTTCTTTAAGAATAAGATCCAGTCATGTAGAAATATACCTGCCAACATTTAAGTTTGAAGAGGTAAGCCTTGATGTCACTGAGTTTAACCCAGTAGTCGAGAGTTAGAGTTGTTTCTGTACAGACCCAATTTAGAAGTACTTCCAACTCCCACAGAAACGGAACAGCCTGAAAATATGATATTTGTTAGATTGATTTCATCAAATCTTGTTGATTTGTAAACTGATTTGTAAACTGAAGACGTAAATACATACAATTTTAAATTTGATGTTTTAAATTGCAGTATTAACATATCTTAATATAATAGTTCTGTACAAAGATATTTCATGGTGGATACTACTAGTTTATTAATTATCATATCAGAATATTATTACAAATGTTGTAATTTTAACAATCTGCACCCTCCCAGAGTCAGATGCAGAGGACGGTATGTGTGGCCACGTACCCTAGAGTGTTCATTAGTCGTGAGTGTTAGTTCATTGTTACCGTACTTAATGAGTATTAATTGTTGTAATTTTACTTTGTCTAATGGAGGAGTGTCCAGATGTTACTGATCACAGTGCTGGCAAGCACACCCGTGCAAATTTATTCCCCCTCCCCAGTTTCCATTTTTTCCAGAAGTAAACTTGCCATTACGAGTCGCCGTTGGTTTGAATGTGATTTGGTTGTAGATCATTTCATATTTTGCGCGGTGTTTTGTTTCATGTAAATAATGCGTACATCATGTCACGTCATATTATTGTATCGTATGGCGCGGCGTATGCCAGCTCTATTGACTGTTATTCTGTCTCATCTTAATTATTATTTGTAACTAACATTCATTAATAAACTCTGATGCTTACTCGACACTCGTACAGCACTATCGAGTCCTTGATTTTGTATAAGATTCTTAATAAATAAAGGTGCACACCGCGAATTTTGCAACTTTGGCTAAAATAGTAATAGGGCGTGATACAGAAACATACTGCTATGTTTCGCAGCGTGGGTCCAATTAGATCACCCTCAAATTAGCGGCTAAAGTTTTCGCTCCCTATTATAGATATATATAGAGTGCCAGCATACAGCAAAATCGAAGAATGTAAACAGTGCGGAGTGTGGCTTGGACATTGCTAATTTTCTCACTTGTTTTGTGAACTGCTAGTTTCTGATCTTATCGGCCAAAAAAAGGTGTTTTTTGGGTCCAGGTTAATTTATGTCGTCAAATTTTCCGAATTTAGGTAAAACCCCCTTTTTTATTTGGTAGAGATGGGTTTTGGGATACAACCCGGGTTGTTTTTTTATAGGAATAGGCATACATAGATATGAGGGATTTACAAAAATAAATTACAAGTGGGAGAGGGTAATGCAAAGGGGTAAGAATAAACAACGTTTGCTATATCATGTCCAACGCTCCTGCCCCACTGCACTGCTCTGCTCATGCTAAAGGGTCACTGTATATACTCCCATAAATTTATTAAACTTTTAATTTCAAAACGCGCCTTTTCTAAAATAAATTTGGGCTCCTTTTTAGAAACTGAGATAATTTGAAAAATTTTAGGATTAAATGAAAATAAAAATTAAAAACCCAACCAAAAACCAAAACACTACAATTATAAACTTTCCCAATTTACTTTAAGGCTTCTTTAAGGTCATTATACTACCTGTACCCCCGGCAGAAACCCAAATTTAAAACCTTTATCAAACCCTGGCTTGCTCGAGGATTTTGGGTATAGTATTTTTAGCTTATAGTAAAAAAAGCACGGTTTGTTCATTTTTTCCCAATTTTATATTGTTAATTTGGTCGTTTTTAGCCCAATTCAAGCAAATCACCATTCTTTCTAAAAATTGTTTATTATGAAACCGGGATGTAACATGGTATCATTGATTGGAAACCCTTCCATATCAAGGCAGCCTTCGTTACAGAGTTAATTTAGTTCGGAACAGACTTGTACGTGTACCCTAATTCTTGAACTTGCCAGTTTGTTTCAGTTTTCCCGGGGGTGGTAAGTTTGACTTTTTGGACTAGGAGCGTTTTAAAGTACAGCCCCTTTTTTGTGCTCCCAAGTTTCCCCACTCAAGGGGAGTTTCAATTTTTCAGCTTTAATGTTTCCCAATGCCCTTTAACTCGGAAAATTTGCAGTCAAACTTTTGTATTTTTTAACGGTTATGTTGTTTATATTTTATTATTTAAAATTTTTGCTTTAATAATGTACGTTTTTGGGGTTTATAGAATTTTTTCCTGTGTTTCTCTTTTGGCCTACAATTCAATACCCAAGCATTATTCCTCTGTCTTTGTCTTCCTTCTTGAATGTTTAGTTTTGGTTACTTTTTCAAACTATTAAATAACAGGACTATTTAACTTGAAACCCTTAAATTCATCGTTTAAATTAACCCTTTGGAGTGTTTTTTTTAATATCGTTTCTAATATAAAAATTTGGCTTTTTGGGGGTTTTAAAAACCCTTCAAGTCAAAAATAAACATGTGATGCGTTTTAAAAAGTTGAGATCTAGCCTCGAAGCTGATCAAATTCCATTACCAAATTAATTGGCGTGTCCACAGGGGGGGTCTGAAATTTCGATTTATTAATCGTTATATGGATACAAATTTTTTATTTAAGGGTTGTAAAATTGGGGGGTTCCATTTTATTTTTCCTAGAAGTTTTACCGTCCAGAATAATCGGTTTTTGTTATTTTCCAAAAATCGGGGCCCTTTATAACATTCAAGTCAAAATAAAATTTGCATGCGGGTATTTTAAACCTTTAATATAAAAAATTTTCCCTTTTAATTTGGATGGTTGAAACTTAGAAACTTTCAATTTAATTTTTATGCTTTAACACGTGAAAAACGCCGATTATTTTCGTTATCCATAAGTCCTTTTTTCCGCTCAAAAAAATTCGTGGCTTTTTTTCAGAGAAAATTGAACAAAAATCGTAACTTCCGAAAAAACCCAAAAGTAATTAATTTGGTTGGGTTCCTAATTGATTATAAAATGCATTTGTTTCCAATTTCAAAATTTTTGGTTCTGGGCCCCAATTTACCAGATCCCCATATTTAAATGATTCGGAAAACAAACCATCATTTTTCCCATTGAGGAAGCCCTTTGGCATTTTTTGTTCGATTCGTTTAATATGTTTAATGCCGGTTTTTTGACGGGTTAATAATTTACTATCCTTGAAAATGGTAAAGCACCAGCCCAAAATGGTTTGGCGATTTCCGGGAAATAATTTTTGGCCATGTGTTGCTCAAAAACCCTTTAAAACCGGGAAAGGCTTTTTGCCTTTTGGAGGCCTTCGATTCAAAAGAAGGGGGGTGAGTTTTGGGCTCATAATGGCGCCGGACCTTCCGGGTTGGAAAAATTCCCCCGGAAAAACTGTTTTCAACTTGGGTTTTTCATACCTCGGAAGTCCAAATTCTAAGGTTTGTAATTTGCTGGTTTTTTCAATAATGCCTAAAGATGGCCTACAAACCTTTAGAGTTAACGTTAGGAAACCCGTTTTTACCAAATAAGTTTTGTGTCCGTAAGGGCGAAAGTAAGTGGGTAAGACGGAGTAATATAAATTTAAACTAGTTAAAGGCGTATAGGCCGATGGTTAGAAATTTGGCCGTTTAGCCATATACTCGATGGCGAAATATATGGCCGGAAAAAAGGGGGCCACCTATGTTTTCCCTGGTTTGAACGCAAAAATAAACCCGGGAAAAAAATAGTGCCAATCCTCCCTTTTGGACGTTAAATCCCGGGACCCCAATTTTAAAGACTTTTTTTGGGAACGGCTTAGGAAGATCACAAGGCCCAAAGAAGAATTAAAATTTTTTAAAAGACGGAATTTTTTACGGAATTAGAATGAAGATAAGGTCCGGATTTGTAGAAACAAAGCACGGAGAAGTGATCAATGGGGAATTTCTTTGAGGATGAAAGGATAGGAGACCTAAGTTAATATCAAAAGGGTTTTTTATGGGTAATTTGCTATCAGTTTGCATTGATTTAAATTCCCAGTTGTTTAGGGAATTGATTCCCGGTGATAATAAAAGGGAAAACCGAAAGCCGTATCTATTAAAACACACCTGCCCTCACTCAATCATTTCATACTTTTTCCCCCCAAACCTATTCGTAATTCTTTCCACGGCTTTTTGTTTGGTATTCCTAAAGGGTTCGGGGACCTTAAATAGCCGATTCTGTTCTGAAATTGACAACTATGGGATTGAAGAAAAAAAAAATTTGCAGCAAATTAAACCCGTTTAACAAATCTTATTACTAATCCTTCTAAACTTAGATTTTTATGGCTGGGAAAAAATTTGGTACATCTCCCGTACTGCGTGAATTAACATTAAAACAATAAAAATTATCAAATTGACTAAGTTTTTTTCCAGAAATTTTACCTTTTAATTTAATACCCGCCATTTAAGATTTTTCATTTTAAAATATATTAAAACTTAAATATCAGCATCAAGTTAAACATGCAAATTCTTAAATTTTTTAGAATGGTTATTCATAACAAAATGATGATTTAAAGTGTTTTTATTCAGAAAACTTTGCAGAGTTTACGTACAGGGAACAGGGATTTAAACCCGTACAGGGCCTAACCTTTAATTCTGTAACCGCGTTACAGTACGTAGAGATTTTCCCCGGCATAGTTCACCAGTTTGTCACCTAAAGGTTTTTGGGCAACTTAGCTCCAAATTTTCTTAACGGGTCCTTTACTTTCCTTAGCTTTGTTCATTATTCAAACCTTTAATGTTTCCCTAAATAACTCGTAATTGAAAAGTTATTTTTAGTTAAAGTGTTTAAGTTTTTGTTTTAGAATTGTATAATTAGAAAGTTGTTTTACCATTAAAATCGATGTGCGGTATTAGGGCAAATAGGGGTCTTGGATTTAAGGTTGGGGTCAATTATATGAATCGTTGCCATTTGGTCTTTTTAAACTTAGTAGTTTTTTATATGTTTGTACTTATCAATTTGATTGGGAATACAAGGAACCTAGTTTAATTAACACCCACCTTACACCAATCATTATAACTTATTTAGAGTAGTTTTTTGCGGAATTCTTTTTTCGGAATTTCAAAAAAGCTTTTACTAAAAAACCCATGAAACCTGAAAGTCCCCAATTTTTCTTTATGGCTGGTTAAATTTAAAAAAAATTTCCCCTATGATATAAATATAAGGGCCTGGCAATTGAAAACTTACTTAATAAATCTTTTTTTTAATTTCTGGATAGAAAACTAACGGACGCTCCCTGTTTGGAAATTGGGATGAAACAATCAAAAATTCACATAATTTAATAATTTTTTACCTTTCCCCAAGAAAAATTTTCCGATTTTCAAAAATTATTGTTAAAATCATGATACATGTCTTTCCTCATATCCTTTTGGTATACCAATACATCAGGATTTGGAATAGGTTCAAAATTCCTAAAATTAAATTGGAGTTACGGGTTTTAATGCGAGATAACATTTGAATGTTTCTATGTACCCCCATGAGGGATTTACGTCCGAGCACCTTATATTGAATCACGACTAAACTCGCTGGAAATTGGTTTTTCCCCTACATTCTTTAATTTGTCAATATTTAATCTTACCAATTAGTACAATTTTTAGTTAACTGGTTTTAATCTTTAGTTTTGCTTAAGTAAATATATTCGGCAAAATCGCACATTTAATTTTAAATTACTCTAAAAGTTGGGATACGGAACAAAGTAATTCTATTTACTACTTTTGCCTTTTCAATAATACAAAACTTTATACTTCAATGAATTAATTTTTCTATTTGGGTTTACTCTTAACATTTTTTTGGTTCGGGGCTTTTTTCTTTTAACCCAATAACTTTCTCGACGAGCCTTTTCATATTTTTCTACAAAAAATTAAATTGGACATTCCGGCAAAAAGTAATTTTTTTTAAACAATTGCAAATAATATTACATTTATACGTCAAAGGAATGAGTTATTAAAATTTTGTCTACTCCTTTCAAAAATTTTTTTAACAAAATTAACTCCTCTTGAATCTTCCTCCCGGGGGCATCCTGCGGATTTCCGGAAGAGGGTTTGTTTTGGATCAATTTTCGTAACAGCTTTACTGGCCCCAAAAAATTTTTAAAAACTAAGTTTCCAACATTTCAAATTAAAACCCATTTTTGAGGAGTTCCAA